TCTATTTTTAATAATAATTTGTGCATATTTTATATTATGTAAATATGTATACAAAAAATTAATATGCATATATGCACATTATTCACATAGATTTTACATATTACATATAGGCATTTTTTACTATAATTACTTAGTAAAATAATATCTCTGAAGTTGCGAAGGTATTTTACTATATTTTTCTTAGTAAAATAATATCTTTAAAGTTGTGAAAGTGCTTTTTACTATAGTTTTCTTAGTAAAAAGGTATTTTCGAAGCTGTGAAGGTGATTTTTACTATGGTTTTTTAGTAAAAAAAAGTATTTCTGAAGTTGCTAAAACGCTTTTTACTATAGTTTTCTATTAAATACCACTTCTAAACCTAAGAAAATAGCTTTACTATTGATTTAAATTAAATTAAATATTTGAATACTTGATTTGAATTTGATTAAATTAAATCAAAGATTAATTTAGATTTGATTAAATAAATTATTCTTTGATTTGAACTTGATCAAATCAAATATTTAAATATCAAATTGAATTGTGAAACTCTAGCATACAAATAAAAAGTTGCATAAAAATAATTTCAAATGAAATACCAATTAAAAAAGGGTTGAATATAAACTATTTTGATCCTTATCGGGAATTAGAATAGGATTAGAAAATAATACACATTCTTAAAGTATATCATTATCTCAATATAATCATCAGAGATCAATAATACAGTTAACATAACTATAAATCATCTGGGATATTTTTACTTATGTGTTTCCATTTCTTTAGATATTATTGATAATCAAGATAATATTTATAAAAAGGTAATCTCACTAAATCTAGATATTCACACGTTTATAATCAGTTATGACCCAATAATTAATTAATTGAATGGATAATAAAAATAATAACAAATTATTTAAATTATCCAAGAAATATAATAAATTATAAAGTGATAAAGATCTTGTCTTTGGGAAGAACAAATAAGAGAAAGTAATTTATTGAAAAAGAAGATATTATAAATCATATAATGAATCTGTAATTTGATAAATAAGTATTATTACCAGCTAACCAAATAGTTATGTAAGAATTATAAGATTATTTTGCTATTCATATTTGAAACATCACATATAGTACTTAAGAATAAAATAAAGATCTGATTAAAAACAATCTGCATAATATTGATTTGATTGTATTTCAGATTTTTTTGTATAAGATAAGAAAGTACAAGTATTATAAGATCATTGAATGTACTGAAAAGCATACTTTTAAGATATATAAGCATTGCAAACAAATTAATGAAAAATTGGATGATTCTAAGACTTTTTGATGTAATTTGTGTAATATGATAGAATATAAATAAATAAGAAATATTTTATCCAAGTTGTTAATAAAGGATCAGATTTTGGCTTAACTTTGAGACTTGAACCTATATGGAATACAATATGATTATCTCTATTTATTTATATTGGATTCAATTTCAAGAGTAAAATAATATCATAACATATTTATAATTTTTAATAGTTTATATAAATAAAAGATCTAATATAATTAATAATTTAGTGAATTAAAGAATATATACATCTAAAAGTTACTAATAATAATAATAATAATAATACAAAAAATACTATATAATTTTGAATTATGTATATTTAAAGAAGGATGGATAATTCATACTTTTTTACCAAATTATTGTTAATAAATATTAAAAGTATCATTGTAATTTAAATTTAATAGAATTTCAAAAGTTGAAAAGAATCAATAAGAGTGTAATTGTTAAATTTTGAAAACCTTAGCAATAAAGATGTCAGCTGAAACTCCCTCAAAATAATTTCGTCATATCCCTTACTATGTTTTTAATATAGTTTTGGCTAATTTCGGGTTTCGGGGTTTCGTCGTACCCCTCACTATGTTTTAATATAGTTTCGGCTGTTTATTAATTGCCTTTTTTGAGTTTCGTCCCTCATCTTTACTTAGCAATTTAATAAGTTTAAAAAATAAAATAAAAAAAATCCTAAAATAAATAAGTCTATACTAAATAATTTTAATTAAAAAAAAAGATTTTATTGTTATTTTTCTATTTAATATATGTTTTATGAATCACATAATCTTACTTGTTAATTTATTGTATATAATAAATAAAAAATTTGCAGATTTTCAAAATGTTATAACTTTTAAAACAATTCTTAATATAGAGTATATAGGATTTTTATAATAAAAAAAGGGAAATTGCTGAAAAATCAATTTTACATATACCAAAAAATGATTTTTAGGCTAAAACGTATTCAAATTTAATATTAACTCATTTTTTATTTTTCTAGTAATTTCTATCTTTTCTATTGTAAAGGCCTTATATTTTAATTTTTTTTTTAAAAAAAATATGTTAACTAATTAAAACTTAGTGAATGATAAAAGATAAAATTATGATATTAATGAATGACAAATTGCGATCATCTAAATTTTATATTGTATAAAAAAAAATGCTAATTTCCTAGATATTATGATAAATAACTAAATAGAAATGTAAATTTGTTCAACTTTAAGATTAATAAACTTAATTGTGATAATGAATAGGATAATCTTAATAATAAATTCTTATAAATAAAAAAACAAAAAAAGAAATAAATTTTTAAAAAAAAGTTATAATAAAATATATATATATATATCAAATTTTATTATATCTCAAATTCTCTATTATTAGAGAAATTATTATTATAATCTTGTGATAGTGAACATAAAGTAATTTAATTATTAATAGCTATTTATCATATAAAATATTTACTTTCACTTTATACCTACAGATTATGTTTTGATACTTTTTTATTATTAATTTTAAAATACTCTTATTATTATTTTTATGAGATAAAAAATTTTCATTATAATTTTTTTCTACAGAGAATAAAAACCTAATGAAATTATTATTAATAAAAAATTAAAATTAAATAGAATAAAAAGTCATTTCATTTCAAATAGTTTTTTTTAAGTTAAAAATAAATCTAATGATATTATCAGATAAGACTTTAATTTTTATTTTAACTTCTTTCTTGTTCTTTTTTTTTTTTGATAATTTTTTTTTTGAAACTCCTGATATTTTATATAAGGTTGTTTTATTTTAAAATAATATAATTAGTATATTATAATTTTAATTAAAATTTTAAAAATAATATTTACCATATAAAATAATATAATCTTGATCAGTTTACATATGTATCATTATCTGTTAAAGATTGATTTTCTTATATTTATAAAAGAAATTTTGATGAAATTTGAATATTACAAATTGATTTTGATATTTGAGAACATTGCCAGTAAAATCAAGTCATAAGATATAGTAAATCATATATTCTATAATGTGATTTTACTGGTAATACTTCCATTTGAATTTATCAACAAGTGTATTAATATGAGATCTTATATAAAATTTAAAATATTGATGGTTATACTTCTTTAAGTTGTTGTGTTTACAGATTTTAGAGAAAGTTAACAATAATATTTCTATTTAAAGGATTTCTATAATTAGGTTTAGTTAATATTAATAATAACAAATTTTTTATTTAGTGATAAAGGAAGGAGTATGACATAACCCTTTTTCTAATAACAAGTCTGAATAAAGATATTTGAAATGATTACCAAATTGTAATTATCTTGAATTAATATCAGAATAGGAGTTATTTTTTTTTACAAAAAAAAATGGGCTTATTTGATAGTAATTTTTTTACTTCTTTTAAGAAACGTCTAACTAACGTATTATCAAGATTTTTAATGATATTTAACAGAATACACATTAAATTTCAATCACCTGTTAATTTATAAAGTTATATCATTTTTTTTTAAAAAAAAATAAGACAATTTTTTAGAATAAACAAAAACTTTAACTTTAGATATTTCAACTATTTCATTGTGATATTAAGAATTTTTTCTTGAAAATTATAAAAGCTTACGAAAGAGAGAGTAAACTATGATTGTGTTTAAAAAAACTATGTGTTCTTTCATTAAATAAAGCAAATGACATGTGGGTGGTGATCTATTAAAATTAAGATACAGATCATATGTCTCATATCTCAATTTTAATAGCATATCACCCATGTGTTTAGAATTTTCAAAAAAGGTTACTTTAAAATTATATGTATCACATGAAAAATTTGGTAGTCATATAATATAAACCAGAGAGTGATGTGAAGATGATGAGATGTGTACATCATCTCATATGACATTTACTTAAGTGATGAATAAGATTAACCGGCCAAAATTATAATAATGTGGGCTGGAAGTAGTATATGACACAGTGATGTGCATTTTATGCTTCCAATAGTAAAAAATTTGATTGGAAGCTTCCAATCCAAATAATTTTATTAATAAATTGTGCTTTCAAACCTTCCAAAGGTTCCAAGTGCACATCACTGCCCGGTATGTATGGTTTCACACCGATATCACGTGATCATAATAAACATCATTACCTAAACCGGCTCTTTTGCTGGTTTCGCGAATGATTCGACATTAAAATTATTATGGTTCAACATTAGAAAATAATGAGTTAAATATCAAGCTCAGGCGCAAAAATCACTCTACTCGTTTTAATTATTTCCGTCCTTATCTTAATCTCTCTTTAAAAAGTGTTAAAGTTCGAAATGCTTAATGAGCGAAATGCTTGAATTTGAACGCAACAAGTTATCTCTTTCTTTACGACTTTCATGCACCATTGATCAATTTCTTGAGTATCAAATATTAAAGCATACATAAGATAATTCCGCTGTAGTAAAAACCTATCACTAAGTTTAAAAAAATTGTTTTATTTTTACATTTGAGTTCGAAATTATCAAATAAAAAGAATTTTCGGATGAATGCATAAAAAAATAACTTTACTGATTAGGGAATATGTTGTAATGAGTGAAAAAGAAAAAAAGAAAAAAAGGGAGTATTCTAAAAATGCACTGCATGTTTTCTATTCTTCTAATTTTAATAAGAAAACCAAAGGAAATTTATTTAAAATAAAAATACAAAATTTCTAAAAATTCTCTATACATATGTAATTATTTATTGCCTTTTCTAACCACTCTGAAAACTTCATAATCGTCTAAATGAAGTGTAGTACCCGCCGTAATAAAATCAGAAATTCCGGGATAAGAAGAAATTAAACTACAACGTATTACTTTACCACCTTCAATTGTTAAATCCCAACCAGCACCAAAACTTGGACCATGATTTGTTCTATATGAAATAGAAAATTTAGGATCTTTAGCCCTAGATATTTGAGCCGAATGAATAGAATCCAAAATTGGAAATGAAGATAAGAAAGAATCGGAAGCTTCCGCCCAAGTATCAATCCCAGTTCCATAAGGTGTTAAGTTCAAAGGGTTATAACCACAAATGAGTTTATTATGGTATTTAATTTTAGAAATCACCAGCGTAGGACCTTTATTATCACACAATTGATGAAATCTTTGAACATCGAAATCTTCCTTACTAGCACGATATAGAAGTTCATAATTATAAGGTTTTGTTTTAAAACTATAAAAGTTCCTTGGTTTCTTATCAATCCAACTTGAGATAAGAGCGAGATGTTTTTCTTCAATAAGACAAGATTCAAATGACGGACAACGTATAGGTGAGATGTTATTGGTATTCGGAGGTGTTTCGGGATCAAGATTTTGTCCAATTATATCCTCATAAAGTTGTTCGGGTAATAGTTTTCTGAATGGTTTAATCTTACGCCAAAAATCTTTGGGTGCAATGTGAAACCATCGAATGCAAGGAATAAAATCATGAAGAATTTTTTCTAATTCTTCGAAATTTTCTGAAGTCCATTGAGAACTTTTTTCAATATCTAATTTATTATCCATTCGAGTGATGCCCCATTTAATTAAATAATTCCAAATTTCTAATTCTTGCATTGCGAGATCATCTTGTTGAAGGATAATTTGAAAGATTGATTTATCTAAAGAATCAAAATTCGAACCATCAAATAATAATTTTGGTTCTTTACAAACCACATCTACACAAAAATCTTTAAGAACTGTACATATCTCATGTTGAAATACTGTCTGAAGTACTTTGATAGCATTTTCTTGTACGTAATCTGATTGTTTACCGATCATGTATGATTGAATGTATATGTTTAACTTTTGAAGATCTAATTCATCAGCTGCTACCAAAAGCCGGAGTAAATCCGATCCTTGTAGTATATCTAAATCAATATTGCCCGTATACAAATACCTTTTCAGATATTTCAAAAAAAAAAAAATTACTTTTAAATTACAATTTCTTTTTATCTTCTTTTGAAGAAATGCGCATTAAAATTACTTACTTTAATAACACCTCGAAAATATTTGAAGAAATATTAGGCTTCCTAAAGATGATTACACCATCTTTTTTGCGTGCCCAATCTTTTGATAGAGCGGCTCGAAAATATGTTGACCTTGCGCTCAATATAAGAGAATGTGCACGAAATTCTTTTATCTTTTGTCCTTCTCCAGCTTCAATAATAACATCGTGACCGTCGCCATTTACTAAAAGTTTTGCAAAGTCGTTGGATAATTCTGTTAAAAAATTTGAATCGGTAAACATTTTTTATTATTATTATTATTAATTACTATTTGAGATTATGAATGAAAAATTGATAATCGTTCGAAATGTGTATCTATAAGCAAATTATACAAAAAATATATTATATATATATAATTATTGTTATCAGATCTTTTTTTTTCCTCTTTTTTTTTTCTTTTTGAAGGCGTGCATACGGACATTCCTTAATGTTTGATGGATTTACAATTCTAACAATTGCTTAAGTATATCAATAGTCCTATAATGTATAAATAAGAAAGAAACCAGTTTATGTCGAGGAATCAGCCCTCATCGACAGATTATACATAAAATCAAAATGATATTGCATATTTTGATGCAGTATTTTTAATTAAAATGTGGCGCAGTAATTACGCGTTTTGTTAATCAATTTTACCTTACCGATATATATTCGATATAATTAAAGTCCAAGTGAAGTATAGGATCGATTAAATATACTGTGTAGATTCCCATCCTCTTTAATAAAAAAAATGGATTATGGAGGATGAAATATAGACATTTTTGTCTAGCAATCTTCTCTAAATACTCTGACGTTATATGCTTTCAATTAGGTTAATTTATAAATGGTCTCCTAGTTCTGTAATTTGATCCAATATTAAAATTTTTTTTTATTGGGAAATTGCATCTGTAACTTTAGAACAATAATTAATGGCTTCATTATATTCTAAATGTTAATAATTGGTCTATGTTTAAACTCCTATTTTAAAATATGTTTCAAATGATACAAAACGATCATCGTCATGGCATAGTTTATATTTGATATAATATAATTAATTGTAAGATCAAAAAAAAAACGACTGAATACTTTGATAGGGTAGTATCTGTTACATTTTGGAAATCTTTTATATAACCAATCAAAACATATCGATATGCTAAAAAGAAGCAAAGTGAATGAATGATACTTGATCCTCGTAAAAAAAATATTCAAGATGCATCCTCTTCTCATAAACATAAAGTTATTTAAAATGTGAAAATGAATCTTCTCGCATTTCTGATTTCTCTTGGATTTTTATACAGCCTTTTTTAATTACTAATTTTATACTAGCTAATAATAATAGAGTACAAATAGCTTTCATGATGATAATGCTAAATAAATTATCCAGAAATTTGTAATGATCAAAGGATTTATATTTATCTGCGCCGCCAAAAGTGTGATTTCAGGCAAAAAACTTCGTAATCTTCTAAATGACAATTATTCGATGACAAGAAATTATTCCCGGAATAAATTGATGCTTTATAACTTATAATAAGATCTTTTTCAACAGCATAAATCTTATTAGTCACTCGAGCAATTTTCCCACTTCTCGAGTTTTTACTCGTAAATGAAAATAAAAAACTATCTTCTGTTTCCTGCCATGATCCATTTTCATATTGATGAGATGTGTAAGGTTTCCAATCAAATGGATTATATCCTCCAGTTAATGTATCTTCATTTTTCATTTTTGCTATCATTATTGTTGCACCCTCATGATCACACAGTTTATGGAATTTCTACTAGCCCTATATTAATAGATTAAATGAATAAGATTTATGGTTATTTTCGTCGAACTTATTTGTAATTTCATTGAATTGATCTTTCTCAGTAGAATTAGGTGGAGTGTCAGGATCAATTATGTATCCTAGAATATCTTGATATAAATTTTTGGAAAAAACTTTTTCAAACTGTTTAACATTTCTCCAAAAGATTTTAGCGGGAACTTTGAAACATCTAATAAAAGGGATGAATCATGAAGAATCTTTTCTAATTCCACAAAATTTTCTTCAGTCCATTGCGAAACTTTTTCTATGTCTAATTTAGTTTCCATTGAGCGATACCCCCTCTTGAGTAAATATTTCCAAATCTCAATTTCCTCAATTCTCTTCAATCAAAGTAAAGTGATTGATTTATCTAAAGATAAATATTTAGAAGAATCAAATAATTTTTTTGGATGATTACATATATTTTCAAGAAAAGAATCTTTAAGAGTTGAGCAAGCTTCATGTTGAATAACAATTTCAAGGATTTCCTCTTGCATAAAGTCAACATCAACAATAAAAGATTGAATATATACTGTATAATATTATAAAGTTTTGATCAATTTCATCTTCAGAGCATCAGAGTGATACGAAGTATTGGTATATCACGTGAAATGAAGTTACTCTGGTTAGATGGGTTGGGTAATAATGTTGAGAAACTTAATTTCTAGGATTTAACGTTTATGTTGAGGTTAGCAGTTTAGTATATACTCAACATCATTTCACGTGATATACTCTACGACAGATTATATATAATAATAAAATCAGATTGATTGAAACGTGGCCAATTTTAACAACTTTACTTTACAAGCTATGTACAGAATCGTTATTAAACAATGTTTAAGTGAAAAGAAAATATGTTCGAATAAATAACTATGCAAAATCCCATACTACAAATTATTTCCACCACCAGAAATGGCACAATTAATATTTTTTGACAAGGTGGTATGTGAAATATGATTATGGCGAATGAAACAATTCACCTAGCAAATTCCGTGTTAAAAGTTCAAAGAGCAATGTTTATTCTCAGCTTTGAAATAATAACCTTTTGTCAATAAATTTAAAATTATCAACTTTATCAAAAAATAATTCGTTTTAACTAATGAATACCTCACATTAAGGCTATGCTACGCGAACGTCACCCATTTACAGAACCGTTTATTGCTGTTTATTCATCTACAATTCTGCGAATCACCACCTCTTGTATTTGTATTATAACTTTCCAACGAAGTCGTAAGTCAAAGAAACATAATATGATAAGTAGCAACTGAGTACGTTCTGTGGGAACATCAATAAATAGGTCTTTTCATGGAGAATGAACCTTTCATATCACATATTTACTTTTTTCGATCTGAAATTATTATTCTCTCAGTATTTTATATATGTAAGACCCTTTTATAATAAAGAAATTCTACAATCTCTGTTTAGATATTCGTTATATACCACTGCCATAAAACTCATAAATATTAAAAATATCTGCTTTAAGGAAGCAAGTGTATATTCTATTTGTCACACTATATTATCCGACATACTAATTGTTCTTGGAAATTTACTAGAACGCACTTAATATTACTTGAATATATGGGTCGTTTGCTATTAAGTCAAGTAGTAAATCATATGGTCCGTAATATGATTTTAGTAACAAACCCACCCATACGTAGGAAAAGAATTCTGAAACATAACCCGATATTATATTACCCACGAAATCATGAAAAACTCGATATCCACAATCCCGATACCTAAATACTGATACCTATTCGTGAAGGATGATTAAAACTAACCTGAACTGACCTAATCCTAACTCTAAACTATTGTCTATGATATGTCGGAAAATAACGGGATTTTGTATATTGATATTGTCGGGAAACAGTATACGGATCCTATTATTCATATAGAAAGAAAATTTCGTAACGCAACAAAATTTTTTTATTAACTAATTTCATATATGCTAATAGCTTTACAAAAAGCTTTCATAGGTAACTGCGCCACAATAAAGATTATTTATTTCTTTCCGATCAAGTAAAAAAAAAATAGTATAAATAATGTAAAAAACAATTCACTTTTTAATAACTTGAAAAACTTCGTAATCTTCTAAATGATAATTATTCGATGACAAGAAATTATTCCCGGAATAACTTGATGCTTTATAACTTATAATAAGATCTTTTTCAATGGCTAAATCCCATCCACCTCCAAAACACGGTCCATATTTTGTAACATATGAAACAGCATGAATCTTATTAGTCACTCGAGCAATGTTCCCATTTCTCGAGTTTTTACTCGCAAATGAAAATAAAAAACTATCTCCCGTTTCCTTCCATGATCCACCTATATTTTGATAAGATGTGTAAGGTTTCCAATCAAATGGATTATATCCTCCAATTAATGCATCTTCATTTTTCATTTTTGCTATCATTATTGTTGCACCCTTATAGTCACACATTTCATGAAATTTTTGCGCTTGAAATCCATCTCTACTAGCCCTATATAAAAGGTTAAATGAATAAAATTTATGGTTATTTTGGTCAACCCAACTTGCAATTGTATTGAAATGATGGTTCTCAACTAGGATCGAATTCATGCGATTGTTATTTCTTGATGACAAAATAACTGTAGAATTAGGTGGAGTGTCAGGATCAATTATGTATCCTAGAATATCTTGATATAAATTTTTTGGAAAAACTTTTTCAAACTGTCTAACATTCCTCCAAAAGATTTTTGCGGGAATTTGGAACCATCTAATAAGAGGGATGAAATCATGAAGAATCTTTTCAAATTCCACAAAATTTTCTTCAGTCCATTGCGCAAGTTTTTCGATATCTAATTTAGTTTCCATTTGAGCAATACCCCACTTGAGTAAATATTTCCAAATCTCAATTTCTTCAATTGAAAGATCATCCCTTTTCAATAAAAGTATAATGATCGATTTATCTAAGGATAAAAATTTAGAAGAGTCGAATAATTTTTTTGGATGATTACATATTTTTTCAAGACAAGAATCTTTAAGAGTTGAGCAAGCTTCATGTTGAATAACAATTTCAAGGATTTCTACTGGATCCTCTTGCATAAAGTCAACATCAACAATGAAAGATTGAATATAATTATAAAGTTTTGGAAGATCAATTTCATCAGCCGCTACCAAAAGTTTTAATATTTCCGTCCCATTTTGTTTATTTAATTCAACAATACCAGTATATAAATATCTATATGAATAAATAAAGTTTTAATTTGAAAAATAAAAAAAAAAAATAATATATATATATATATATATTTGGAATTTTACTTACTTTAATATAATCTCGAAAGTATTTGAAGGGATATTTGGCTTTTTAAAGGTAATAATACCATCTTTTTTGTGAGCCCAATCTTTGGATAAAGCAGTTCGGAAATAAGTTGATCTTGCTCCTAAAATAATAGAGTGAGCACGAAATTCCTTAGAATTTGGTCCATCACCTGCTTGAATAATTACATCATAATCGTTGCCGTTTGTTAAAAGGTTTGCAAAATCATTTGATAAATCTTTTAAAAAATTTGAAGATTCCGTAACCATTTCAAAACTTTCTTGTTCCACCTGTTTTGTCATTACTTTTTATTGAAGGAATTTCTGTATGATTACTTTAAAATGCCCTTATATATCAATTTTTAGGTTATCAATGGTCCTAAAAATGGATAAATTAGGTGTAATCCAGATTCGACAAGAGGTTGCACCTTGAAAACTTTGACGCAGTAATTACGGTTCATAATTAATTTTTTAACCACTTTAAAAATTTTATAAACATCCCTGATTTATGCTTGGAATCGCTATTAGGCAAAGTTCAAGTGAAGAGAAGTATGGTTAGAATAATATACTATGTAAATTCACATCCTCTTGAATTATTAAAAATTTTCACTAACTAAAAAGGGAACGTTTACGATATATTAATTCGGTATATTTGTAAGTCGCACAGATAGCCAATTAAAACCAAATTGCGTTAAATAGCATTGCGCATTTTTAATTTCTCTTAATTTTAGAATTTTATTAGTGACGAAATGGACAAACAATAAGAACAACTCATTCAAAATTTGTGGAATACGGGATTTTGAGAGTTACCGAAATACAACGGCAAATCATTATAAACCACAATATTGGCTAAGACTGAAAGTACCTCGGAGGATTGGAATGCATCTTAAAAGAAATCCTGCCAGAAAATTTGCATTCAAGTTACATTTTAGAGCTCTATGTATCATAATGCGTAATTTAGCTGAGCATTGATATGGGTTCGTCACATTCCCAAGGTCCGAACAAGGATTAACGTATGATGCAATCGGGACAAACCAATCTTTACTGTTTCCGTGAAAACATAGCTGGGCAAATCTGTGATGATGGCGCCTCCAGAAAGATAACGATACTAAGCATAGGAGTCGCGTAACTAAGAATTAGAGATTGGAATCGTTTCAACAATCAAAATCGAAAATCGAATCACTAAATCAAATCGGCAAAATCGGTATTAATTTTTTAAGTATAGATTCGTTGTCGCATGTAAGACTTTTTATTATAAGCAAGTTATCGTTACATCTCTGGACCTTTTTTTTTTTTGTTATTCTATATTTTATGGATTAATAATAAGTATGGAATTTTTACTTGAACTCGTATTTGTTATAGTATACAAATAAAATGATGGTGCTAAATCAATGATCCAGAAATTCTTTGATAAAAAAGAAATTTGTTATAACTATTCAAAAGATTTTATCGTTAGTTCATAGATTCAACTGCGCCATACAGATGTTTTTTTCGATCAAGTGTAAAAACAGTATAATGTAAAACGATTCACTTTTTTAACTTGAAAAACTTCGTAATCTTTTAAATAACGATTATTTGATGATAAAATATTATTCTCGTAATAACTTGCTTTATAACTTATAATAAGATCATTTTCAATGGCTAAATCCCATACAATTCCAAAACACGGACCATAATCTGTAACATATGAAACAACTTGAACAAGGTGAGCTTTTATTCGCAAATGAAAATAAAAATCTGTCTCCTGTTTCCTGCCATGATCTATAAAGACATTTCGAGTTTCGTAAGGTTACCAATCAAATGGATTATATCCTCCAATTAATTAATTTTTCATTTTGCTATCATTATTGTTTCACCCTTATGATCACACAGTTTACGGAATTGTTGTGCGAAATCCATCTCTACTAGCTCTATCAAAAAGATTAAATGAATAAGATTTATGGTTATATTGGTCAGCAATTTTATCGAACTGTCCTTCTCAATTAGGATCGAATGTTATTTTTTATTTCTTGGTGGTAAAATAACTATTAGGTTCAATTATGTATCCTAGTATAAGTTTTTTGGAAAAACCTTTTCAAACTTTCTATTTTTGCGGGAATTTGGAATCTTCTAATAAGATGAATGAAATCTTCTAATTCCACAAAATTTTCTTCAGTCCATTGAGAAACTTTTCGATATTTAATTTAGTTGCCATTTGAGTACCTTACCTCACTTGAGTAAATATTTCCAAATCTCAATTTCCTCAATTGAAAGATCATCCCTTTACAATAAAGTATAATTATTGATTTATCTAAAGATAAAAATGTAGAAGAGTCAAAATAATTTTTTGGTTGATCACAAGACAAGAATCTTTAAGGGTTGAACAAGCTTCATGTTAAATAACATTTCAAGGATCCTTACTGGATCCTCTTGCATAAAGTCAAATCATCAATAAAAGATAATATAATGGATAAAGGTTTGGAAGATCAATTTCATCAAAAGTTTTAATATTTTCGTTCCATTTTGTTACAATTCCAGTATATAAATTAAAAAAAAAAAATATATTTTTTCTTTCGGAAGTTTACTAACTTTAATTGATCTCGAAAATTATTTGGTTATTTAAAGCTTTTTACAATCTTTGGATAAAGCAGTTCGGAAATAATTTGAATTTGCTCCTAAAATAATTGTAGAGTGAGCACGGCATTAGGTCTTGAATAATTACATCATAATCGTCACCATTTGTTAAAACATGTTTGAATAAATATCTATGCGTTGGTTTCGTGGTGGGGGCTGCCGTGTAACGATAACGCTTACCGTATGGATTAAAATTATTTTTAAGGGTCACATCTTTTTGGGATGAAAGTTTTCAACATATACAATCAACAAAAAAGAGTTTCAACCGACCGCTTGTACTATCGAAGTGGGAAATGATGAAAATAGCGATTTTGTAATTTTCGATGGGATCATATTTCATCCTCAAGAAGGAGGTCAGCCAGATGAGAGAGTACCTTGAAAGCAATTTGTTGTCAAAAATTATGGACATCACGAAATCCTGAAGAATACCTCACTTGAAAAAACATTATTATCAATTAATCACTTGTAAAGCTTGCTTGGTCAATTTTATGCTCGTCAGCCGGTCATTTCATTTCAAATGCGGTAAACGAGTTCCATCCGTAATGTGAATCATTTTCCAAATAAAGCTTTTGTCTTGTTGACCTACAGGAGCTTAAACAAAGGCTAGGCGAGCGCGTAAATGAACTTGTAAAGAACGGTTAAGATTAATTGGGAGAATTCGCCTCCTACTATTCAAATTTGTCGATTTCAATTCTTATCCACACACGTTTCGAATATCTGAAATCGGAGAAATTATTATTCGCAATTTCAAGAGAATTAAGAGTTGGATATGATATTTTGACGAGTAATTATCAATATTGTAGCTTGAATTAGGATAATTTATTTAAAAATTTTTATAGAAATTGATCGTTTATATGTTATTGCACTACACGATTATGCAAAATCGGCTATAATAGGCCATTTCCGTTCATCGTAAATATTGTTTTCCGGCATTGTCTTAACAGGTATTATATAAGTATTAATCGGCTTTTGATCTTTAATTTAATCATAATACGGTAATCCAAGACAAGTAAAAACAGAATGAGAGTGTGATTTACAGATGCAACTGAATCATCACAATTAACCGAAGCAATCTATCCGGAATCCAAGATTAACCAATTTTGACTTTATAGAATTTTTAATATTAATTCAACTAAACAATCAAGTTTTGAATATTTTCGCAAGATTAACCAAATTTGACTTTCACAAAAACCAAAGTGTAATAAATTCTTTCTTATAAAGTTGATTATAATATGGTATAATTACTATCTTTTAGGGATGTTTCCATTTTTATTGCAGTAATTTTAAAATCAACCAATTAGTTTTATTGATGATCGTACAAACTAAATTTTATTTCAAAAAAATTTTTTTTTCTTATAACTTTGTTTTGTCAAAATATTAATATAACAGACACATACAACAGACACATACAGCCTTATTATTTATACATGCGAAGCAAGTACTGTAGCACAAAACATGTACGATTTTCATTTGTAATTTACAAGAAATTTTTATTTGAGGCAAATGTTTTCTTGTCCAAACGGAATTTATTTACTAAACAAAAAAAAAACCATTTTCATTACTAAAATCAAATTACTAAATTGACCTTTATTTCCAAAAGAATTTTTTTTTTTTTGAGAATGGTTTTTTTTGTTCAAAAGCACATCTGAACTCCCCGAAACATTGTCAACAAACTTAATTAAATCCCATTTAGTTAATAAGTATGCATCTTCCTCGATTTTATCACTTGAACATCGCGCCCAATTGTAGAACATGTACTATATTCTATTTAGAAGTGTCAAAAGTTCTATTTAGAATTCCATGAACGAACGTTATAGCTTGCAATTTTTATGCTATAGTGATGTAAGGCTTCTCAAATGTTTATGTCAATGACACGTAAAAAATTCTTTGAACTCGCCTATTCGGAAACTTGTTACATATATTAACCGAAAGGATTTATATCCTTGGTACAATATAAATTAAATGTGACGCAAACTAAATTATAATTACCAGGCAGGTAATTCTTATAACATGATTATCTATTCTAAATTTAGAAAAATTCCAAACATCCGGAAATATCCTTCGGTGAATGTACGTAGAGTGGACATCAATGATTTCCAAAACTCTTCTTGAAAAAAATCCTTTTGCGAAATTTACGAAATTTGCGAAGCAAAAAAACACCATGAGTCAGTCAACCACAATCCAACCTTTAAATCAAGAGGAAAATACACCATCAAATATATCTAACCCTTTTGCTTTCACACCAACGCAACTTTATCGTCTCATAGACCCAAAAAATCTTTCATTATTAAAAAGTTATGGAGGAATCGATGGTTTAATAAAGGGACTTCATTCCGACCCACAAGCTGGTCTAAGTAGAGATGAGTCCACCCCTTTGAAACAAATATCATTTAAAGATATAACAAAAGATTTGCCTGAAGACGGTAGTATTATAGAAAATGAAGAAGATAATGCACAACAAACTTTAGTTGTCGGTCAAATTCCTGAAGAGGGTGCTCCTTTTTATCAGAGAATTAAGGCTTTTGGCACAAATTTATTGCCTGAAAAAAAACCAAAATCCATTTTTCAGTTAATGTGGATTGCGATGCAAGAAAAAGTTTTGATTCTTTTAACGATAGCTGCTTTCGTATCATTGGGTCTTGGTCTTTTTGAAGATTTTGGGCCTCATCAAAATGAGGAGGATCCCAATCAACCTAAAATCCGTTGGGTAGAAGGGGTTGCCATTATTGTCGCTATCATAATCGTTGTTATGGTTGGTAGTCTGAACGACTGGCAAAAAGAAAAACAATTTCAAAAGTTAAATGCTAAAAAAGAGGATCGTAACGTTAAAGTTATAAGGAATGGTAGAGAATCTCTTATATCAGTTCATGATATCCTTGTAGGCGATGTACTTCATTTGGAACCTGGTGACATAATTGCGGCTGATGGCGTTTTAATTGCTGGACATAATTTACGTTGTGATGAATCAGCTGCTACAGGAGAAAGTGATGCTGTAAGAAAATTGAAATATGAAGATTGTTTAAAAGAATCAGAAAAGGAAGATGGTGGTGTATTTTCATTTCACTCTAAATCTGATCCTTTTATAATTAGTGGTAGTAAAGTATTGGAAGGAGTTGGTATTTACATTATCACCGGTATCGGTATCAATTCTTTTCATGGCAAAATTATGATGTGTGAGTATCGATTTTAGTAATATCTTAAAAAAAATTAATTACAAAAAATAAAGAACTTTATTAATTATCCCGTTATAGCTTTAAGGTCTGATCCCGTAGACACACCTCTCCAAGTAAAATTGAATGATCTTGCCGAAAGGATCGCAAAGTTGGGCGGGGCTGCAGCTCTTCTGATGTTTTTAGTTCTCATTATAATATATTTTGTTAGTTTTCGTAATGAGGTACCAGGTGTTTTCCAAGTATTGGATAATTTAATTAGAATCGTCATTTCAACGGTTACTATTATTGTAGTTGCAGTACCGGAAGGTCTGCCTTTAGCAGTAACATTAGGTAATTTTTTTCCCCTCTTATCATCCCCAATACACAACTATAACTGATATGATATTTTTATTCACAGCGCTTGCATATGCCACAACACGTATGCTTAAGGATAACAATCTTGTACGTGTTCTCTCAGCTTGTGAAACAATGGGTAATGCAACGACAATTTGTTCAGATAAAACTGGGACATTAACTCAAAATAAAATGACTGTTGTTGCTGGAACTATCGGTTTATCTGTTTCATTTGTTAGAGATGCCGAAGAGTCTAAAAATAATCCTCTTCAGAATGTCGATATTTTAAATCATCCTATTCCGTTACAACAATTAAAATCTAAACTTCCTGAAGATATCATAAATTTTTTGAACGAATCGATAGCAATTAATTCCTCTGCCTTTGAAGGTGAACTTGAAAATGGAAAAAGAACTTTTGTTGGTTCTAAAACCGAAACCGCGCTATTAGGATTTTTATTGGATTTGGATCTTGATAATATTAAATCTTTGAGAGAGAATGCCGAAATTATACAATTATTCCCATTTAGCTCTGAAAGAAAAGCGATGGGAGTAGTTATAGAAACTGGTTCTAAATGGAGATTTTACGTAAAAGGTGCAAGTGAAGTTTTGTTAAAAAGAGCAAATATGATAGTGGATTTTAAAGCCGATGATAAAACTGCTTTTGAAGTGATTAATCTAACTGAAGAACGTGCTGATAAAATGCAAAATATAATCGAGACATATGCCAGAAAAAGTCTAAGAACGATAGGGCTTGCTTATCGTGATTTTGAAGAATGGCCACCAAAGAACATGACGCCAAATGTTGAAGGTGACATTCCTTATGAGGAATTAGTTAATGGTGTCACATTATTGAGCATCGTGGGTATCGAAGATCCACTGAGAGAAGGAGTTCGAGAGGCGGTTCAAATGTGTAAAAAGGCTGGTGTTACAGTTCGTATGGTCACTGGCGATAATATTTTAACTGCAAAATCTATTGCTACACAATGTGAAATTTTTACAGGTGGTGAGGTTATGGAAGGACCTGTCTTTCGTAATCTTTCGCCTCAAGAAATGAAAGCGTTATTACCAAAACTGCAAGTTCTTGCTCGATCTAGTCCTGAAGATAAAAAAATATTGGTTGGTCGTCTTAAAGAATTAGGCGAAGTTGTTGCTGTCACCGGTGATGGTACAAATGATGGTCCCGCTTTAAAACTTTCTGATGTTGGCTTTTCGATGGGCATAGCTGGTACAGAAGTTGCCAAGGAAGCTTCATCTATCATTTTAATGGATGATAATTTTTCAAGTATTGTCAAGGCCATTATGTGGGGAAGAAGTGTAAATGATGCAGTAAAGAAGTTTTTACAATTCCAGCTGACGGTTAACGTTACCGCTGTGTTGCTTACTTTCATTACGGCCGTTTCAAGCAGTGATCAAAGATCTGTTCTTTCAGCTGTTCAATTATTATGGGTCAATCTTATCATGGATACCTTTGCCGCACTTGCTCTTGCAACAGATCCACCCACTATTGATTTGTTAGATCGTATGCCAGAACCTAAAAATGCACCTTTAATCACTTTAGATATGTGGAAAATGATTATGGGTCAAAGTATATTTCAATTGGTGATTACTTTGATTTTATTTTATGGCGGTGAACAAATATTTGAATATGAACAACTGGTGATGAGAACTGTTATCTTTAATACATTCGTATTCCTGCAGATCTTTAATGAAATCAAGTAAGTTTAATGAAACAGAGTTCTTATTTGTAGTAATATTTTTAATCGAATAATTTGTAATTTTTGTAGTTGTCGACGATTGGATCATAAATTAAATGTTCTAAAAGGTGCTTGGGCAAATAAATTTTTACTTGTTATTTTCTTTATAATGGTTTTCGGGCAGGTTTTGATCGTTGAGTTTGGAAAAGCTGCTTTCCAGGCCACGCATCTTAATATAGTACAGTGGTTAATATGCATCGGTTTTGGATCCTTATCAATCCCTGTCGGAGTTATTATTCGTTTGATTCCTACTGAATTGATTTTCTGTGGTTTCCGCACAAACATTGAACCTGCAACAACAGCACAACGGGAAAAGGATTTCGATGCGATTATAGAAATGCAAAATAGATTAAGGATCTTTAAAACACTTCGTGGTGGTAGAATTAGAGCTCATTTTGGTGATAAAAAGGAAAAACGTGAGACACGCTCAAAGGCATTTGCAGCTGCCACAATGTTTGCAAGTTTGGTTCCAGCCTCAATAGGAGCACCAATTAATTATGAACAGAATAATCATACCATAATAGAAAATGTACCTTCTACTTCTGAAAGTCAGAATGGCATAAATCCGGTCTGAAGATTGAAAAAAGAATTTATGTTGACGGTTAATTATCCACTACGTTTCGCCTAAATTAATATCTGAAAGGCGAAACGATTGGTTATGAAATCCTTTGAAGAGGCTTTCAAAGAAAGCGGATGCTAAATATGGACAAACCATTTTCATTATTTTTAGTCTTCAAAAAACACAACTTTGTCAATTATACCCTTAATAGCATTTTAATGAAATTCTTAGTGAATACTAATCTGTAAAAAAAATTCAATCTATAATTCTGCTTATAAACTTCCTATAGATTTTTTTCTTTTCCATGATAATTGAAAATTTTATTCTGTATTTGTATTGATTAGAATTAATATAACTGCTGAAAAAAAAATAAAAACAAAAAAAAATCACAAAAATTCAAATTTTCAAATTCGAATATTTCGACATTTGTAAAAAACAAAAGTGATCAAAGAATAATGACAATCCCAGTAAATTGGATTTCCTATTTTGGAGATGTAACTGGTTTATCCTTAATGGGCATTGTTTTTTTTTTTAATTGAGTAAAATTTTTTTTATTATAGAAATTTTCGAGAAAAAATTTCGGTAGTCCCACATTTTTTGATAAGGAATTATAGCCCTCACAGTAACGCCAACACCAAACTTAATATTGAAATCGCCAAGTGTAAGAATCTTTACAAGATTCTTGTAACCTTATATTAAAAAAAGGGCTTTTTTTAATGAGTCAAGTTGACAAATTATTCGTTGCATGACGGACATCATGACTCATAAAAAAAATAGAAAAGATTGTCGATCACTTGTCGACGATCATTAGGATCGGTTTAAATATAAAGGTGTAAAATTTTCCAAAAAAAATAATTTCAGTTTCAAATCATAATCACAATAAACACAATGCTTACGAAAATTTCTAATTTTTATCGTTTCCCAGTAACGAAACAAATCATAAATTTACCTTTTACGACACCAGTAACAAGAAATCGCTCAATAATTGTTCCAGCATTTAAACAATATCGTTATATGAGCAATGAAGCAAAAAAAGATAAATTAATAGTTTTCGATACAACTTTACGCGACGGGGAGCAGGTAATCATTTTTATTATAACTTATGTTCCTTGCGAATGATTTAAATCTTACCTTTTATTTGCCTGAAAATTATTTTTTAGTCACCGGGTGTTACCTTCAAAACGGAAGAAAAACTTGAAATTGCTCGACACCTTTCCAGTCTTGGTGTTGATGTTATCGAAGCTGGGTTTCCTATTGCTTCACAAGGAGATTTTGAAGCAGTAGCCCGTATTGCAAGAGAAGTTGGTCCTTCAATGAATGGAAGAGATAAAATAGGCAAGCCTGTGGTTAGTAATTTGTGAAAATCCGAACAAACATGATTTGTGTTTTGATACAAATTCACAAGAAAATGTGCATAAATTTTAGATTATAGCCGGACTTTCTCGTGCTACTGAAAAAGATATCAAACGTTGTTATGATGCTGTATCACAAGCTCCCTTACACCGAATTCACACTTTCCTTGCCACGTCAGATATACACCTAAAATTTAAACTAAAGATTGATCGTGAGGAATGTATAAGGCGTGCCGCGGCAGCGGTTGCGTATGCAAGATCTCTTTGTAATGATGTAGAATTTAGTAGTGAGGATTCTGGTAGAAGTGATAAGGATTTCCTATGTTTGGTCTTAGAAAAAGTTATTGAGGCAGGTGTAACAACGGTTAATATACCAGATACAGTTGGATATAATAACCCAGAAGAATATGGAGGATTAATCAAGTATTTGATCGAGAATACACGTGGATCAGACAAAGTAATTTTTTTTTATTTTATTTTATTTTATTTTTTTGCCAATACAACTAACATTATTTTATAGGTCATTTGGTCAACTCATTGTCATGATGACTTGGGATTGGCCACTGCAAATACTTTATCAGGTGTTCTAAACGGTGCCAGACAAATCGAAGTGTCAATTAATGGTATTGGCGAACGTGCTGGTATGTTATTTATAAATGGAAGGAAAGTTACATGTTCATATTTAACATAATATATCTTCATTATAGGAAACACTCCATTAGAAGAAGTGATAATGAATATCCATACGCATCCCAATTCTTATCCTGTGTATCATACAATCAATACACAACAAATATATCGGACTTCTAATTTAGTTTCATCCCTTTCTGGAATGGTGGTGCAACCTAACAAAGCAATTGTGGGTGCTAATGCTTTTCTACATGAATCCGGTATTCATCAAGATGGTGTACTGAAGAACAAGTTAACTTATGAAATTCTTCGTCCCGAAGACGTTGGCATTTTAAATGTAAATCTAGTATTGGGTAAACTTTCAGGTCGAAACGCGTTTCGTTCGCGACTAATAGAATTAGGATATAGTGATATGAATGAAGATGAAATTAGCGCTGCCTTTGAAAGATTTAAAGCTCTTGCCGACACAAAAAAACGTGTTACGGAGCATGACCTTTTGGCATTATTATCTGATCAGGTTTCTTCCGGAACTGTAGTCGGATCACAACGATTTAATTTGCAATCAATTCAGGTCGTATCTGGTACTCATGAGATGTCGACTGCAACAGTTAAGTTGCTTGATATTCCAGAAAACAAGGAACTCATTGATGCTGCTATTGGACGTACTGGACCAATAATGGCAGTATTTGGAGCTATCCAACGCTTGGTACAGCGTAAAGTACGTTTATTGCATTATGAAGTTCGTGCCGTTTCAGAAGGAATGGATGCTTTGGGCAAAGTTATTGTAAAGATTACCGATGATGTTGATTTTTCTTTGGCAGAAAATGGCTCTCCCGAAGTTGAGGTTCCAATTGATTCAAGAGTATTAACAAAAAGTACATATCATGGTCATGGTACGGATGTAGATGTAGTTACAGCAAGTGCAAAGGCTTATATAAATGCAATTAATAGGATGTTTGAAGAGGAACATTATGCTAAAACTGGACTAGGGAGGAGTTCGTTGCCTGAAAGGCGGGCGGAAATATAAGTAATCTTATTATCACCTTTATTTACTTTTGTATATCTTGTATATCTTGTTCAGAAAATTAAATAACAATTTTGCCATATCAAATAAATATATGCATGTAAAAAAATTCAATTTTTTTTTATTTTCATAGATTTTTTTTTTTTGTATCCCCAATGCATAATCATCGAGTTATTGTTTTACATCCCGCCTCAATTTCACTCGAAATATGGGTGGCGAGTGGGAAATTTATTTTTAAATGTATCGCAAATAAAAAAAAAATGGTAATAATTGGTGTCAATGTGCTCAAAGCTTTATAAGACGAAAAACAAATTCGATATTTCGATATGGCAAGCCAATAGATTATTATTAATAATTGAAATGAAATGATTGTTCAATTTATTATGTAAAAAATGCATTCTCGATATACCGAAGCTTTCATTCCGAGTCAAAACATAAAGTTGATTCATTATCGTTATATCGAGATTCGACAGTAGTTTGTTAAAGAAATTATAGAAATACAAAATAAAACTTGATAGAAATTAAAAAAAGTTCATGTTCTTAATCAAAATTAACTATGAAAATTTTAAATTATTTTTTTCAAATTCATGATTTTCGACTTCATTGATATTTTTTAGATACACCTTGTTTACCTCTCCATGTTTTCATTCCATTATTAGCCCCAGACAACTTTACAAAATTATAAAACGGAAATATAAGTTTGTCATGCAAATTATTCGGAATAATGATAAATAAAATAATTTACCTTATGAACGAGATCTTGTATGAATGACGGGAGGAATCTCAATAAAGGCATTAAATAAACAAAGTAAGGTTTGAAGATGATTTGTCCTTCATTTTTATCTAACGCAGTAATGATAGGTTTTACCACATCTAATGGTGCTAAACGAGGCGTAATGAATGGAAAAGGAAATTCCACTCCATCAAATAGTCCGGTATCTATTTCACCAGGACATAAAAGGGTTGTGCGAACTTTTTTGGCATTGTATCTTTTTTTTTTTTAAAAAAAAAGAATTCCTTTTTAATAAGAGAAACATTATATCTATAAAAAAAATATTAATATAAAGATTACCGTGTATCCAATTCATAACGAAGTGATTCGTGAAAACTAATCAAAGCAGCTTTACTTGCACAGTAATCAGCTTTAGCAAAATTTCAAAAAATTAATTACTATATTCTAGTTAAAGTTGAAAAGGTTAAAAAAAAAAAAGAATTGAAATCCTTGACTCACCCAATTGAGGCAATCCACTAAATCCAATTGAAGATGCTACCGTTACCTTTAAAATAATTGAGTTGAAAAATTTTGAATTTTAACAGAAAACATTTTTAAATAGATTCTCATTGAAGTTCGATTAATATTTACAATATGACCGTGATTATTCTCAATCATATCCGGTAAAAATACTTTTGTGGTCCAGAAAGAAGATAGCAAGTTTGTATTTATAGTACTAAAATAAAAAAGAAAAGAGAAATTAGATTCAAACAATAATTTCATTTAGATCATGGATTTTAATTAAAAAATTTACTCTGTAATATCGCGTACTGATCCTTCAAGAATGGTTTTCCCTCTAACGATGGCTGCATTGTTTACAAGTATTGTTGGGTTGCCAAACTTTAAGATGTAAAATATTAAAAAGTTGACGCAAAAAAAAAATAAAAGACATTCATTATTTGAGAATTTGATGTAATTTACCTCATCTATTATTTCTTTACCAACGCGTTGAACCTCTTCATAATTTGATACATCACATTTAAAATATTCCATATTGTCTAATTATTTAAAAAAATCAAGAAATTTTAGCATAATATCGTTACATCTCATAACAAATTAAATAAATAATACCATGCTCATTCTCAGGAGGTTTAATGTCTAATATGATCACAGTCACGTTTCTGATCGCCAATGTTTCGGCTAAAAGACCACCAATACCACCAGAACCTCCAGTCACAACTACTATTTCATCATCCCAGTTAATTTTGGCATTCTTCCATCCGTTTCTACTCTTTAAACTTAAATAACCCAACAACCAGAAGAAACACACAATGCCCGCGTATAGACTACTCCACAAAAATTCTGAAGTAGTGGACTCATAGCCTTGAACGTATAAAAACGGAAGGAGTATAAGAACAAATGAGGGATGAAAAAATGAGAGAGATAGAATGCGAATGAAAAAATCTATAGAAAGCATCATTCCAATATAATATAATATAATCTTTATATTTATTTTATTTTTTCTGGAGATCGCATCGAAAATAAAAGTAATGAAATCAAAAAAAAAAGTTTACAAACAAGCAAAAAAAATGTTTAGAATACTAATAATAATAATAAGTTTTATAAATGTCGTCCGATTGTCGTCGAATGGTAAGAAATATTTGATTTTCGTATCTAAAACTTTCTATTTCTTTTATTAAAATATTTTCAAAGTTACACGGCATAAAATTAATGAATGAATTGATAATTTCAAGTGAAATTGACGCGAAATACGTAACACTTTATTTGATTATCAACTACATTTGTAGTTACTTCAACATCTGTTTTTTTTTCATTTTTTCACAATCTGCACCAATGTTGAAGTATATTAATCAAGTTGACATCAAATTTGCTCCCTTTTCACAGTCAGCCAAGTCTTCAAGGTAAATAATTTGAATGAAATATCTGTTTCTTACAAATATTTATCAATTTTTTTTTTTAGACTTTTCCTTGCAAGAGTTATGACAGATAAGGCCCGTCTTGCCAATCCGAGCGCCACCATTAATACAACAGTCCTTTCCGATCCGAACCAGAATCCCACCATTAATATAATTTATCGTGTGTAGTAGTATTTCTCGTTGACATTTTCTCTAATTTTTAGATCTAAGCCTTTAATAACCAATAAATTACAATAGGTGATGGGAAAAAGCTTACTCTTCGACCAGGTAACAAGAATATTGATGAGTAAGTGGGAGAGATCTCATTGCATTTCGATACAATAAATAAAGAATATCATTTATTAACTTTTTAATGTTTACATAAGAGTTTTGTATGTTGTAAACAAACATTTGCGAAGATTAAAAGAGGAGGAAGATTTTGCCGCTTAGTACAAGAGGATATAAAACTCAAAGAACAGGTATTTGATTTATTTTATTCGTGCTTTCTAAGGTCGCAATTTATTTATTGCTTTGCAATTATCCGTAAATATTAACACTATTAAGTTACATTATTATTCGGTGATAACTAAAAGGATTATTTATGCTTTTACAGCAAATTTTCGTTGAGGAAAATGAATGGCCTTCTTATGAGCACTAGAATAATTAATTTTGAAATAAGGTTTTAATTAATATATTAACATGTGAAGCGTTCATTTTATAAATTAAAGAATAAATTTTACCGTAAAGTCGTCATCTTGGCTTCATTCTAAAAAAATAATAAATAAATGAGATTAAGAATTATCAAAAAGAACAATTGAGCATGACTAATTCTTACTTTTGATAATCGACGACGAATAGCACGAGTTTTTTTCGGTCGAAGATCTGTGGGCTTGTATTTTTTGCCTCTATAGAGCTTACGAAGTTCGGTTCGTTGCTTCTGTGAGATAACAGTGTTAACACGTGCAATGGCCTTGCGGACCTCGCGCCTATATTTTAATATAATCATCATCAAAAAAAATTTTTCTTATAATCATAAAGTAAAGTAGCTACCGTCTACCTACAGTTTTGTTAGCTTTGACGCTGCCCCACCAGCGATTTTTTGAACCTTTAGGCTGACAAGTTCTTTCTTAAGATCTTCGAGCTGTTTGTCAAGTTCGGGTTTGGCCTTATCGCGAATCTCGTGAGCTTTGACAACAGTAGCCTATTGAAATAAATAAGTAATTAATATTAGTTTATGTTTAGGATTGATATATGATGGTAAACTCGACCCTCATGATTTGAAAAATTTTAAATCATAAGGGATTTCCCTTCAGATTTTATTTAAATGCTAGTAACTTTTAATATTAAATATTGATTCCATGAAAGTATACAACATTGATCGAAGATTACAACGGATGGTAATTATCCACTCACCATTATAAAATATCCTTAATTAAATCTTCTTGTGAGAGTCTCGTTAAAAAATTTATTTTGATCTCTCGATTAGAATATCCGAATGGTGATAGGTCACGAGTGATTATAAGTCCTTTCTATTTATGGCAAAATCCTGGAAAAAAAGATTTTCGTCCAAATATGGAAGTTGATTGATTATCCTAAATCTCGTTCATTCATAACCCAAATAAATATATATCGATATGGATTTTTTGATCTGATCAAAATTGTTTGTCGCATTCGCTCTTATCTGTCTAAAACATTTTTTATCTTTTTTTTTATTTAACAAAAATGTCGCTTGCATCATTCACTAGAAATAGTTTTTCTTTAGCTCTCAAACAAAACAATTTGTCTTTTAGTAGTAGAATAGCAAGGCCAAAGTATGTACTAACTTTCACTTTCGCATAACTTTTGTTATTGACTACTAAAAGTAACTTTCATTATGTAAAGGATCTTTCAACAAGCTATTTTTGCTCGTTATGCTTCTGCTATGCCGTCCCTTAACGTATTGACCGAAGAAGAAGAAACTATTCGTGATTTGGGTAAGCATTTATTCTTTTTTTATCTTCCCTTATTATTGCTATCTTAAAAACTATGCATTGACTTCGAAACTTTATCATTTTAATGAAAAGCTACACGCTTTACGCAAGAAAAAGTAAAACCTCTTGTGCAAAGAATGGACGAGGACGAAAAACTTGATCCTTCAATTATTAAAGGTCTTTTTGAGCAAGGGGTTCGTTTATAAATCATAATCGTTATGTGTCAAATCTTTAACATCTTTAAGCTAATATATTTTTTTATTAGTTCATGGGAATAGAGACAGAACCTGAATATGGTGGTACTGGCGCTTCATTTTTGTCTGCTATATTGGTTATTGAAGGTATTCTCCAGATAAATTTAAGATTATGTTTCTCCCAACTTCGAAAATTAGTAACATTATTTTTTTTTTAAAATAAATAAAAGAACTTGCAAAAGTAGATCCATCTGTTAGCGTTGCATGTGATGTTCAGGTTGGTTTAAAATCAATTATATATACCTAAAAAAAAAACCTAAATTCCCTTTAATCGCTCGAAATTTATAGAATACACTAGTAAATACACTATTTCGCAAGTATGGTAATGACTTTGTGAAAAAAAAATATTTGCCCCAACTTGTATCTGAGAAGGTAACGAACAACTCTTGAAGGATTTGTTATAAAAATTTTCATTCGTATTTTAAATGACTTATTTTTGAACAAAAATCTTTAGGTTGGCTGTTTTTGTTTATCCGAAGCCGGAGCTGGCAGTGATGCGTTCGCGTTAAAAACTCGCGCTGAGAAGAAGGATGGACATTTCATTATTAACGGTACAAAAGCATGGATCACTAATTCTGCCGAAGCCGAAATTTTTTTAGTTTTTGCCAATTTAGGTAAAGTTTTCAGAATATTTCGGTTTTCTTTTAATGATTCAATCGATTTACACATGATGTTTATTTAGACCCGTCAAAGAAATATAAGGGAATTTCATGCTTCATTGTTGAGAAAGGCATGGGAGTCGAGATAGCAAAAAAGGAATCAAAGGTTCATTGCAATTTCTTATATATATATTATGTATGATATAATGCATAAATTATAATATGATGTTTTTTTTTTGCAGCTCGGTATTAGAGCTTCCTCGACATGTTCATTGAATTTTGATAATGTCAAGGTAATGGGATGATAAATGAAGAAATCCTTTATTTGTCGTTATTGTTGAACATCAACCAGTCAATTTTAATTTAAACTTTATTTCAATGACAAAATCTAGGTACCAGAAGAAAATGTTTTGGGAGAATTATTCAAAGGTAGTACTTTTTACGATTTTTTTAAAATTTTCGACTTAGAATAACATTTATTGCAACTTAAAGGTTATAAATATGCGATTGAGATTCTTAATGAAGGGCGTATTGGTATAGCCGCTCAAATGATAGGATTATCTCAGGGGGTATATGATCATGCATTAACTTATATGTTTCAAAGAATGGCATTTAATAAATTAATTGGAGATTTCCAGGTAAAGCTTTAATATTTTGTAATTTATTGTATTTATTTATATTGATCATGAAAGTAACATGATTACTTTTAAAGGGCATGCAAATTCAATATGCTCAAGGTAAGAAATTTACACACATAAATATGTGTTCAAATTAACTAAATGATGATATATAATTTATTAATAATATTACTTTACAGTGGCTACGGAAATAGAAGCCGCCAGATTATTAACCTATAATGCGGCTAGATTAAAAGAAGAAGGAAAAGATTTTATTAAAGAAGCAGCTATGGCAAAATTATACTCGTCTCAAGTTGCAGAGAGGGCCGCATCCAAGGCTGTTGAATGGATGGGTGGTGTTGGTTTTACGAGAGAATTCCCAGTTGAAAAATTTTATAGGGATGCGAAAATTGGCTCCATTTATGAGGGGACCTCGAATATTCAATTAACAACCATTGCGAAGTTAATAGCTCGTAATTTTAAATAAATTATCTCAAAATTCTGTATTTAAAGTTCTATATTATAATAATAATAATAATTTAAAAAAAAAACTGTGTAAAAATAAGATAAACCTATTAATTAATAGAAACTTTCTGATCTTTTTCGGCAGAATTAACGATTTCCAACTTGCTCAATTTTTCATCAACGTATCTTGGATCAAACCACCCAAAATAAATATTCACAATTTCTAAAATATAAATTACATCTTGATTTTCACTAATTTTGGTATTATTAATTTTACCATAATAATCAACTTGTGAGGAATAAACTAGAATCCTATTCATACAATCACGTAAATAGGTGTAATGAGTTTCGATTGGATTTTCAACAGAGGATTTTCCGGGTTTTTTAAGTGAAACTGTGTAGCGCTCTTTTGCATTCGTATAATTAACTTCTTCAGTAAATTCTTGTGGGCAGGTGATGGACAGAACAAAAGTGGTAAGAATTGTGAATAAAAGAATAAAGAAAAGGTTTTGTGTGAGACTTTGAGATTTCATTTTGAAAATTTCTTTTTTGAGGAATGAAATTATCGTTATGCTTAAACAATTGGGGATTTTATTTTCCTTTTTTTGTGTGTAACAAAGGAAAAGTGGCGGGATCCAAAAAGATCTACAACGCATAGTATAAATAATTGAACTAAGAAATCGGAAAAATGAAGGTGATATAAAAATATTTTTTTTTTAGATCATTTTAATTGCATATGAAAGGCGACTGTTTTGTTAGTTTAACCCATTATTAGTAGGAAGAAAAGCACTTTGTTTTTTTGTTAAAAATTCCCTCTCTTTCTTTTTTAAAAAATGTAATTACATCATGAATGATAATTTATTTGTATACTAAACAATGAAATAAAAGACTAAGAAAGTGATCAAACCTTTGTATCATTTTACCAGAAAGTAACCGTCATCGAGATGACATATTAACATAATAATAAATTGCAAATAAGTTTATGAACGTAATGTTTTCGTGATCATGACATATTGAACATTTTTTTTTCTTGTCAAATGATATTGGGCAAGTAATATAAATAACCATGGAGAATTTATTACCAAAAAAAAAAAAAAAGTTCTAATACCAAAATATTACAATTATTTTATCTTATTAAAAAAAAACAAAAAAAATGCCTGTTGATAAATCTGGAGAAGATATTTCACCTACCGTCAATTTGAACGATCTTAAGGTCGGTCAAAAAGTTCTTTACCATCCCGTTGGAGGTTCTCAACAGACTACCGAAGGCATTATCAAGGAAATTATGACCGAACCCGAAGTAAGATGATGATTACCCACCTTGATCGTTCACCTTTTTTTTTCGACATTTCACTTCAATAACATGATGATCCTCGTCTATCAAGGTTGCGGGTAACAGACAAGTTCAAATTAAAGCTTCTGAAACTGATCCAAGGATCTTGATCGAGAATTCAAACACGCATAAAGTTAGGATTATTTAAAATTTATTCACGTTCAAATAATTTTTTTTTTCCGCGTTTTAACCTTTTCTTTTATTTTAAATATTTTTCCTGTAGGAAACAGGCAAGGAAATAGTTTAAACGAAATTCTTTTCTTTTTTAATGATTTGAATAACGATTTTTATTTCTCATCGAATATTTTCTCTCTGTCATTTTTCAACTAAATATTACAGCTTACAAGCTCGTGAATATTGAAAAAATCCTCGAGTAAATACAAGCCGAATTTGACGATCACCAATTATTTCAAATACGCGTCGATTTCTATTTTTCAATTTTTTTTTTCTTTTTTTCCAACATTTGTTTTTATCTTTTCTGATAACGTAATGTGAATAAAGATCTTTATTTGAAAAAATCATAAAATGGCTCTTTCTCGCGTGTGTGATAGCCAAATCAATTAACGTATGTCAACATGCTAAAACTAATGTGGGTTAGTTCCTTTGGTATGATGGATGATAAACATATTATGTAAATGATGCGTCATCGTATTTTTAGTTGAATTATTTTGCCCGTGAAAAAGCATTTTAGAATTGATAACATCATAATGTTATCAAAAGTAGAGGGAATTTTGGTATATAAAGAGTGAAATTTGACAACGAAAAAAAAAAAATAAATCAGATAAAAATAATTTATTCTTATTTTTTAAAATCCTTATAAAGAAAATGTTGTCCCTATTTTTGAAATCGCGTCAAATGGTCGCAGGATCTCTCATGCAAACTCGTCAATTCTCGTTCAAATTTTCACGAGTCCTTTCACCTAATGGAAGGTAAAAAAAAAAAAGAAAAAACCGAAATTCGCTTTGAAACTTTTACTTTTGATAAAATTTATGTTATTTGTTTAATTTTAGTCACATGTCTAATGATCCGGAAGTTGTAAAACAAGAAAAAGAAAAAGTCATTAAGAAAGGTTTATAATATTCCTTAAAAATTTAACGAGGAAAAAAAAAACAGTCGAGATAAAAATTAAAATATATTTTTAATTGATAGAAAAAAAGAGTACAATTAAGTCAGCTCCAGGATGGAGTGAACAATTAGCATCCGAAAGCGAAGCAGCGGTAAAGATTTACATTTTAATCATAAATCTTGCAACTTTTTAAAATTCTCATTCAAATTCTTTCCTTATGTATTTAAATAAGGTCAAAGCGGAGAGAGATCATTCGGTTACCATCGAGGATTTGCAAAAACATTCGATAAATATCATAGAAGAACATCATGGTGTTACACGAGAACAATCGCAACAAGAGAAATAATTTTTAATTAGCTATATTCTTGTTACAATGTATAAATGATCCTTTTTAATAAACTATACATATTGCAGTAATTAGTGATATGAGTCAAATCGGAGCGCCATTTTGTGTTAAATAAATAAGCGAAGATCTGCAAAAACCAATTTTTAAACTTGCATGAGGGAACCCCGATAAATGAATGAATTTGGAAAATAGATTTGCGATAAATAATTTAAAAAATTAAAAAAAAAAAAATTTATATATAATTAAAATGTCTTCCCAAGAAACGAAAGAACAAGCTACAAAGAGCTTTTCAGAAGTTTTTCCCATTCTCACCGAAGAATTTTTGACGGAAGTTCGAACTAGAAAATTTTCTGAAGAAACTTTGGAATGGATTAAGAAGGCAAAGAACAAATATTAATTCTTTGACCAAAAGTTCAGATTATTTATTAACTCGATATTTCTATTTAATAGAATTTTTATCATAATGTTCCCGGAGGTAGACGATTCTTTTGATGAATAATTTCGAGCATAGTTTTTTTTATTTAAATAAAAAAAATTTTTAAAACTATAAAATAGGAAAGATGAATAGAGGATTATCTGTCGTTGATACACTCAAGATCTTAAAGAATGATCAATTAACCGAAGAAGACCTTTTTAAATCTCGAGTTTTGGGATGGTGCGTCGAGATGGTATGAATTATTATAATAATATCATAGTTTTCGTTATTATATATACTAATTATGTCATTCATAGCTTCAAGCATTCTTTCTCGTTGCTGATGACATCATGGATGCATCGTACACACGTCGTGGAAATCCATGTTGGTACAAAATGGTAAACTTTCATTAATAATTTGTTTATATCTTTTTTTTTTTTTTTGAAATAGAAATATAAATGTAATTTTTCTTAAACTTTTTATAGGAAGGCGTTGGTCTGATTGCGATTAATGACTCATTCATTCTGGAGTCTGCTATTTATTTTTTTTTGAAAAAGTATTTCCGTCAAGATCCATATTACATTGATTTGGTTGAATTGTTTCATGAGGTGATTGTCAATGAAGAGAATTATTTTGTTTTATTTTATTCATCTTATTATGTTTGGTAGATCACATTTGAAACCGAATTAGGACAACTTTTGGATTTAACAATTGCCCCCGAAGATAATATTGATTTGAATAGATTTTCAATTGATAAGTATGCATTATATATATGGTATTCTTTATGTTCCTTGTAATTTGCCATTAACGAAATTTATTTATTTATTTTAGATACCAATCCATTGTACTTTATAAAACTGCTTTTTATTCATTTTACCTTCCAGTTGCACTTGCAATGCACATGGTAAGTTATGATTACAGATCGAAATTTTATGAACTTGATATGTATATATTACCTGTATAACCTGTTATCTTAGGCTGGAATTAAAAATGAAAAGGCTTTTAAAGCGGCAAAAGAGATTTTGTTACCATTGGGCGAATATTTTCAAATTCAAGTGAGTAGAATCAAGTATTGATGTGATATATTTATTTGAATCTTTTAAAAACTTTGATTTTTGTAGGATGATTACCTTGATTGTTTTGGAGATCCAAAATATACAGGAAAGATCGGAACCGATATCCAAGATAATAAATGCTCTTGGTTAGTTAATCAAGCATTAGCAAAAGTTTCCTCTGAACAACGTAAATTATTAGAAGTGAGTAAATGAATATGCTTATAATCTGTCATTATCGTTCAAAGAAATAATGTTTTATTTTTTATTTCATAATTTAGGAAAATTATGGAAAGAAAAATCTAGAGAATGTTGCAATTATTAAACAAATTTATAAGGATCTAGAACTTGAGAAATTATATAAGGAATATGAGGAACAATCTTTTAATAAATTAAACGATTTGATTTCACAATTAGATGATTCCCTTATTAATCGTCAAGTATTTATTACTTTTATGAATAAGATTTATAAGAGAACTAAATAAATTGATGATTATTTAATTTATGATATAATTTTCACATCTCATTATTTATTTGGAAAATCAAAATAAAGAGCACAATAAACTTTTTTAAATTGTATTCAAACTTATTGTCATTTTCGAATTGCCAATTTAATAAAAAGCAGAAAATTGAAAAAAATACAACTTTTCTTATTGGATCATGTTACAAAACTATACAATTGAACCCATGTATAATAAAAAAATCTGTTATTTGATTATAAAAGGGGATTTTGTAATTATCTTATTCGTAATTTTTGAGCTAACCACAAATGTGCTTTATAAGAGTCGGTTGTAAATGAAAATATCAAATTTTTAAACAATCTGATGTCAATTTTGGAAGATGTCTTTCGAACATTGGTTAGTTAAGCTTTAAACCCACTTTCTTATTTGATTTATTAATAAGTAAATCATAACAAATTATGTATCCCAACAGATTTTGATAAAAAAAAATTTTTTAAACTGGGAGAATGCTATCAAACCGAAAAACCCATTGTTAGAAATTTATGACAAAAATATATTTGGGTTTTCTGCCAAAATTCTATCTAATATCTCCCATTCATATAGGTCAAATACTAGTAAACAACACGGAAGATATCTTATTTCTTTTCTCGTAAAATGAACGATAAATCACCTCATGTTGGTAATACACCCCTTTACTATTGTCATGGAATCTATTTCTCCTCAAGAGTTTGTGTCAAAGGTGCGGACAAATCTATTTTTTCAGGATGATTTGTTGCTTTGTAATTTTTTTTACTTTTCATTTAGTTTTTGAGATGACGATGATGTTTTGTTTTGCTTCCGATTCCATAACCATAATCTTTATGTGGCATCAATTTTGACTTGATTCAGTAAAATATGCAGCCAGTCAAACGGGATATTGATGTTCGGAAGACCATATACCCTGATTAAGAACTATCCTAATAGGTAGCATCCAGCCAAGCAAAGTATAGAAACTATTTATCCCTCATTTAATTGGTGAACTTTCTTTTCCATAAAATCCAATCAAGAGACTTCTAAAACGAAATGAATTTTCACCACGAATAAAAATGGATCAAATTTTAAGATAATGCAATTTAAAAACGTGAAGTAACAACAATGTATCGATAAACCTTACCTACTATACCGATACTTAAAAATGTCCGATCAAGTGAAGAAAATTGACTTTTCACATCTTGCAGCTTTAGGAGATGACGCTAAGAGTACAACTGCATGATTGATTCGATCGGTCGATGCCACGATTAATCGATTATAAAGGTTCATTACACAAGAGAAATATTAATAGGTAAGATTAAACGATAATTATAGATGATGAACTTTACGTAAATAATAACATCAGTTAAGCATGAATGGTAAAAGATAAGGTATCAACAAGCAAGAAGTGACTTCTTTTCTGACTCGTCATCTTGTTCATCATTTGCAAAAATAAATCCATTCATGAAAAAAAAAGTAAACATACCGAGATTTTTGTATATACGTTACTATAAACTTTGAATTTTTTTGATTCCAAAGCTAGAACTTGATAAGAAATATAAGAACAAATTAGAATACAAGAATATATTTTTTATATAACATGTATTTTTTATTATTTTTTTTTTTTTTTGCTCAGTCCAATTATGGTGCAAAATTTTATCAACACAAATTTTCAGCCGGTAATTCCAGCTTTTATTGCATTATTCATCCTTGCAAAAAAAAAAAAAAAAAAAAAAAAAAAAAAAATCTAATCACAATCCCAATAGTCAAATAATGATACGTTACCTTTCATGAGATTTCCACAATAACCTTTGTTGATTGATATAACCTGTTACAAAACCGATAGAGAAGAGATGATTAGTATTAAATTGGATTATTCTTCTTATCACTTTATAAGTATTTCGGGTCTCTTTTTTTGAAACTTCAGTTTATGCACCTTATAATCATTGAATGAAATATTCCTCAGAAACTCTAGTTTGATTTTTTATGTACAAAGTCATCATATGAAAAATTGTTTTTTGTCTATTTTATTATTTGTTTCTGGATAGATATACTATATTAAAAAACTACATACCTTTTGTAGATAGTAAGGATGGAATAACATTGAAAGGAATTAAATATATTTTTTTTTGATTTTTTTTATCGTTGATCAGATGAGATGTTTATTTAATAGCCAATCATAGACAAGACAATTATTTGCATAAATAGAAATTGTCATGAAATTCGTGTCGAATGTGGCAAGTATCAAAATACAAGGAAAAAGAAGCAAAAGCTTTTAAAATGTCAATAAAGATTTGTTTTAACATAAACGTGACATTAGTCATCAAGGTTGTCGAACATGTAGGATTTGAACTGAAAAAAAAATTAACTGTGCCAAACTAAAATGCTTCGGCAAATAAATCAACATATCCTTCCCCAAATCTGAAACTTTTTTTTTCTTTTTTTCATCGATAGGATAGAAAGATTGTAACACCAAATAATTTTAAATCGCTCAATGATTTTTTTAAAAAGAAACTTTTATTCCCAAAACTCGATAAATTTTTTTTGTTTATGATTGCGCTAATAAATTTTCAAAAAAAAAAAAATAAATACAAATAAAAGTGCTAGCTATTTATATATATTTCTAATTTTATAAGTCATATAAAAAACGAAAGTGCATATTAATAAAAGAAGTAATCTTTTTTTGCCATCTTATTCAACTTGAAATTGTTGTTTGATACTTAGTAAAAGAGTCGACTCTATTGTGAGTAACGGCGTTCATTTTTCATGATTTGTTTGTTAAATTGATACAGCTATTTACGAAGAATTGTAATTGGATATATAAAAATAAAAACAAAATTAGTCTACCTTTTTTTATCCAACTCTGGTAAGACTTTACGAAACTCGAATGATAAGATAATACGAAATGATAAAAAAGAAAATATAGAAAAAGAAAAATGGTGCAAAAGCGCCAAAAGTTCGCAGAATAAAACAATCACGATCGAAAAGAATTTTTGATGTAAGTCTCAAGAAAAAGAAAAAAATATATTTGAATACTACAAAGGAGCTAGCAACACCACATACATTTTTTTCTTTTCAATGATTATATCATCAAATGAGTGTAACTATAAAGAGGGTTATAAAGGACGGTTTAAATTATAATATCTGAAATCTATATTGACAATGTTCGTTTTAAGTCACTTTTTAATTAATTATTTACATTATTAATGTCCTGAATTTACGTGAAGAGAAAAGAAAATAAATTTTTTTTTGGATTTTTTTGAGAGGTTTTTTTTTTTTTTTTGATTTTTTTATTGTATTCAATAAGAAAAAAAAAATGTTCATATATATATTGGAGGTTTCAGGATCGACCGCGTAGAGGAGTCCTTTGGTATTGATTAAAAGAAAAAGTGAATCCGTAAGAAGAAACAAACCCAATGGATTACGCGATTTTTGCAGGAAGGCTGAGGAATCCTGATTAATGACAATAGTTCCAGACTATTTGACCGATGGTTTTAGAGGGAGAGTGATACCACGATACATCTCAATTTTTTTTCTTACGGAAACGAGAAGTTTGATATGGGAAAGGAAGCATAAACTGTATGACTGAACAAAAAATCATCATCTTAAATATAAAAATAATTTTGTAATTGGGTAAACAAAACAACATGAAACCAATGGAGTTAAAAAAAAGAAGTTCCAAAGTTCGTGTCACTTATACTAATAATATGTCTAGTGAATAAAAAAAAGTTACAACCGTATTCCGAAAAAAGAACCTATATATCAGAAATAGTTTAGAAAGTTCATTGATATGAACTTGTAACACAAATAAACAAGTAAAATTCTTTTGAAGATACCAAATTCGAAAACCGTTACTTTTAATTGTTCAAACATCAAATACTAGATTTTACAGGAAACACGCGATTTTTGTTTTTCTTATCTGATGTCGTGTGTCGCTCCCCCACAAATCTTTGTTTTATTGACTCGGTGATGGAACGAATTGGAAGAAAATGATGATTCATTCTTATTTTTTCTTGATCCTTAGGTAATCTTGCTTGGCAAGACGCTTTTTTTTTGAAGTTGCATCACAACTATTTGTAGCACAGTGTTCCTTGAAATGTCAAACGACGCGGCTTTTAATTTAATATGTCTCATATTTGAACGTCAATAATTCTCCGAATGTATTTTTATTCTTTTTTTATACATTAATCAAAAGATCTTTATTAGTTCTGCGAAATAATTTATAAATTGTTTTTTTGGTCAAATTCCATACTAGTGCTCCTTATCTTTTTTTTTTTTATTAATAAGAAACCTTCTACGAAAAGCATCTTTATAATTAAACCTTACGCCCATGGGCGACCGCATGATAACATATCCTCTATCAATCACAAAGGTGAATCACTCTATTATATGCGTATCGATAAGGAAAAAAAAATGATGATTCCTTTTAATCTTGAAAAATGCGCATGTTTGTTCCGTTGTGAGGCAAATTACATAATTTACGTATGACATTTATTGTTGGGCTCATTGTTCTCTGCAGGTTTCTAAACAAAGTTAGCCATTGTACAATCTATAGTTCCTGAGTGTTTATGGTGTGGAGTGGGAAATTTTTTTTAATTTTGGCGGGTTTTATTTTATCATCAAGTCCCGAAATGTCCCGTGTTTTGGAATTCCGTTGAATCAAAAATCAAGCTTTTCTTCTTATTTCAGATTGCATCTTTCCCCATTAATTGGCTCAAAAAGCTTTTGAATGAATAAAATTGTCCAAACAATAATTTTTATTATTTTAAATTTACGAAGTGTGTGTAGTTTTTCAAAATCAAAAGGTTTCATCGGTTAGGTCGTATAAAAATAAAGCATGAAAATAACCGATAATAATAATGGGATTTCATAAACTATTGTTTTTTCGTGAAAACAAAATAAAACATTAACTTGAAAAGCAAAAAAAAAAAAATATTTACAATTGTATCCCGACTGAATACCCCTTAATACCTCTAAAAATCGATACATGAGACGCGCACCTTTTTTTTACCATA